AATTACATACTAAATTATAATTAAAATTTTTTGTCCTTAAAGAAATTTGGTAGCATTTTAACATTTAAATTTAAATTTTTTTTTTTTTTTAGTATTTAAATACAAAAATAAATAAAAATTTTAAGCACAAACATTACAATTTACATGTCCAATATTTCCCAATATTTGTCATTAACTGTACAATTATTTATCGATATAAAAATGTTATAAATATTAAAATATTCATCATGTATGAATATTGTGTGGCAAGAAAATATAAACTGATAACTGCAAACACCTTATTAACATTACAACTGTGTCAAATTACAAACAAATATAATTATTAAATGTGACAGGTGTTTTTTTTTTTTAATAAAAATATTATTTGAGTTGATGTCAATATAAAAAAAAAAAATCAGAACGTTTTGCAATAAAACTAAAAATGTATGATAATATTTTTAAAAATATAAAATTCTATTGATCATTAAAGTGATAATGTTTCTCTTATTATTTTTTTGACTGTAGTACCCATTGAAGAATTGGTCGGACCAGAGGTCGCAAATGAAAGCTAAAACAAAATTTAAAAAAATAAATTTATATGTGAAGGAAGTTTTTTTTTGAAAATTAATTTTAAAAATTTCATAATTGGCCTTACTTTAAAAAGATAAGGCTGTACATCAGGATAAGTAGTATCAAAAATTAAATCCAGTTCGGATTGATTCGGCATTTTCGGTACGTATTCATGCTTATTCATAACTTCAGCTATATATAAAATTTTATCTGTTAATAAATCACCTAATTTTTCTCGACATAGTTGACGTTCTGAAAATAATTTTTTTTAACAATTTTCTTAATTAAAAAATTGAACCAAGACATAATTATTTATTATTTAAAACAACAAAAAAGATTTAATTTTAATAATATTCTATCAATGAATTATATTTTACACTTTCATACCATGTTCACTTTTTAACTTAATTAATTCCAATCTAACATTCCAAACTTCCCATGGAATACATTCTGTTGTCCAAAACACATTTTTCTTTTTTTGAAAAAATTCTAATGATATTTGCCCAGAACCAGGGCCATCATTTTCCCTAAGTGCTTCTGAAAAACCTGAGATTTCTTTTTTTAAGGTCCTATCAAGATTTTCAGATGAACAGCAAACCTAATAAAAAAAATTTTAGTAAGATTATACTTATATGAAATAATTAATAGTAAACAATAAACATTATAATTGTTTTTTTAAATAAATACTTACTGTAAAAAAAAATTTTATAATAATATATATACACAATAATGTAATAATACAGCAATTTTTAAAAAATACAATAAATACATTAATATACATATAGTGTGTACATAACTTACATAAGTAAAATCTATAAAATCACAGTCAACATCTTCGTAGCCAACAGTACCAACTGAATATGAATCATGTTCTTTATAACAAAATTTTCCAAGAGAGCGATGAAATAATACAGTATGAAATATGCTTGCAACAGCTTCATCAACTTGCCTGCCTTCAACAGTCTGAAATAAATATATTTTTTTTGAAACAAAATACTTGTCGAAAACTAAAGACTGATTAAATAACACAAAGAAAATATCAAAATGCTAAGTAATACATATATATATTATAATATGAAATATAAATAAAATAAAATACTTTACTGATAAATTAGCTTATTTAAATGTAAATTTTATAATAAAAAAAAAGAATAAGTAACCTAACATAAAATTATGATGTAAAATTACAATGTTATCAAAATACACAATTCATATTAATAAGAATACTTTCAAGTAAATAGTTCATTTTGATTAAAAGAGCAAAAAAAAAATCTTAATAAGACAAAAAACAGAATAACATATTTTAAAAAAATTAAACTTTTCTAAGAACAATAACTTTAATTTTATAAGTGTTTTACAAAAAATAAATGCTGGCATTGCAAAAATTATATAAAACGTGTCTAAAACTATTTCAATTGAAAAACGTTACCAATTCAAAAGTTTGTGTTCTTGCATTCATCTTGAAATAGTTCTATTAAGCTTAAAGTTGTATTCAACATTCTTCTAAATAAAAAATATATTTTCACTGATGTTAAAGGAAATGGCTACAATAAAAATTTTGCAAGTAGTCAGCTGTTCTTTGTTTACTATTTTCATTAATCAGCCATGTCGTCTACTTATTAGATGTATTTGTCGACGACGCGATAAAGGCCTATGCCTATTCTTAAAAATATTGAAAAAATCTACTTTTAGACCGCTAATTTTTTAAAATTACAAAAAATAATAATAATATAATTAGAACGTAATTAATTGTTTTGCCAGTAAACTTTTAACGTTTATAACAAAACATTTAAAATAATAATTTTTGTAATATATACAATTAACAATTTTACAATGTTTTGAATTATTAAATTACAGATAAAAGATAAATTTAAAAAAAAAAATAAAAAAATTAAATAAAAATAAATATCAATTTTAAACAATACGAGCGTAAACGAACAACTAAGAGTTTAGAAACAATACATAAAAATTACGCTGTAAAGCGCTTTTTGAAAGTGCGACGTCAAAAAATGGCGAAAAGCAGTTGTTAAGTTCCCTGGCTTGTAAAACTTATGTAAACAATTCACAAAAGCTGTAATTTTTAAATTTTTTTTGTAAAACTAAAAGTGTTTTGTTAATCAATTTAAATGCATATTTTTAATATTTATCTAAAGCTATGCCATAATGCTGAAAAGTGGCCAAAAGAGGCCCATTTCTTCAGGTAGAGAGGCAAAAATATTGAAGAATGATGAATGGCGTCGCTTTGAAAATGAAGTTATTCTAGCTGCAAATGAGAATGGGACTTTAAATTTTTCTATTGAAGGAGGATCAGATAACGGAGAATTTGCACGTGTATGTGATTTGAATCAAAGTAAAATAAATTGTAAATCGGGAAAGCTTTGTGAGGGAGATATTATTTTAGAAGTGCAAGGGCAAAAAGTAGCTGGTTACACCCAAAGAGACGTTGTTGCTTGGTTAAATCATTGCTGCAAAAATGGAAATCCAGTGGTTTTAAAAACTATACCTTCAGGTAATTCATATTGCAATAATAATTATTTTTAGGGTTGCTCTTAAAATATATTAATGTAAAATTAATTTACTGCAAATAGTTAATATTAACGTTAAGTAACCTCATTGATAAATTAAAACTTTTTTAAAAATATATTTTGCACAGTATCATTACTAGTTTACATTATCCCTTTATAAAATACATAAAAATTGCTTATCAATTGATTCTAAATATTTTCTATTTGAAAAAAATTTCATATATTAATTATTACCTAATGTTTTTGTTCAAGTCAGCTTTACTTTCATTTGAATAAACTGTACATAGTAATTACCAATAAATTTAGGTTTTATCGTTTTTTGTAATATTTTAGGTATGTAGAATATTAATTAGTGTTCATCTGAGTAGTACGATTTGAAAATTTGTACAAAAAATCAGCCTATAATATATTTTTATTGTGCAATGTTATGACTCATATAAGAACATTAGTAATTTTTTTTTTTTTTTTTTATAAATAAAGAGTTTATTAAAATTACTTTTTTCATTAATGTTAATATTACAGGTCACATTACCAAAGATCTAAGAGAATTTTTAAATACAAGATTTCAAAAGGGATCTGATAATCATGATCTTCAAAACATTATAAGGGATAATTTATACTTGAGAACTGTGCCTGTAACTACTAGAGAGCCCAGGGAAGGTGAAATCAATGGATTGGACTATACTTTTTTAACATTAGAAGAATTTATGGTTCTTGATCAAAGTGGTAATTTGTTAGAAAGTGGAATTTTTGAAGGTAATTAATTGACAATTTGAATTTTTTTTTAAAAAAAATTACTATTTGTATTTTGCTACTTTCAGAAAGTAAAATTTTTTTTTTTTATAATAAATGACATGTTACCATAATTAAGTTTTAAAAAAAAATTTGTCTTTCATTTTATTAAATATAAAAAACACTTATCTTTTATTTTTTTTTAAACTTTTAAAATACAATTGCATTTTTTAACATTAAAACATTTTTAGACACGATTAAAATTAAGGTTAAATATTTTACAGTAATTAAAATTTTGATAAAAATATTTTAATATAATTTTAAAATTTTTTTTAAAACAGAACATTTTTTTAAAAATAAAGCTTACATGTAATTCTTTTTATATTACCTCTTCATGATAAATTAATAAGTTTTTTTTATGTATTATCAAATAAATAGTATTCGAGATTAATTTGTTACGAGTGAATATTTATTGTGGATCTGTAAAAATGTGTTGGTTTATTGTAAATGTTGATAAAATTTGAACTCGGAAAAACAAAAATTCCTATTTTGGAAAACACTTTTATATTGTTAGTTTTTTTTCTAATGAAAAACACGAAATTCGATAAAAACGTGCACAACTTCATTACTTTGTAATATTTGACATTGTATGACTTTGGTTTTCTGCTTTTTTGTAAAAAAATTTTGTTGTTTTTTTTTTTTTAATTTTCATTTAACAGTTTTAAAAGTAGTTTTTTTTTTAATAGTTGAATTTGTAATTTATAAGTAGTTAAAATTATTATTATATTTTTAAACAATAAATATATCAGTGAAATAATTTTTTTTTTTGTAGGAAACCATTATGGAACACCCAAACCTTCTAAAGAACCTCCTACATCTATACCTCAAGGCAATGAAGCCAACACCAATTTAAATTGGTTTATGCCTGGTGCTCATCCAAGTTCTGAAGGAAAACGCAAACGAAATAGATCTAACGTGGAAGCCATGTCTTCCAAAAATTTAGAACCTCCTTCTGTAGAAATTTATTCTTCAGCCACTTCTGTACATGGTATATTGTTATTTATAAACCATTTATTTGAAATTGTCTTTTAGAATTCAAAACGAAAATTTTTGTTTAAAATTATAAAAATATGGATAATTGAATGTAAAATTTCTTTTTTTAATTATGTATTATTATCTTTTTTTTTTTTTTTTTAGATTCTAGCATTCCAAGTACTGCTAGTACAATTAGAACACCTCCTCTTCCGAATCGTGATAGCTCGGAAGAAAGTCATAACGATTTTTCTTCTGATCTCGGTCCCCTTCCGTCTAACTGGGAGAAGGCATTTACAGAAAAAGGAGAAATATATTTTATCGAGTAAGCATAATGATTACCTCTATTATTAAGTTTGTTAATGAGTTGTAATAAAAATTTTCTTTTATTTATTCTTTTCTTATTAATATTCGAATTTTATTTATAGTCATAACACAGGAACTTCTCATTGGTTGGATCCTAGATTGTCAAAGTTTCAAAAAAAATCATTAGAAGAATGTTTGGATGATGAATTGCCATACGGTTGGGAAAAGATAGAAGATCCGCATTACGGTGTATATT